AATCGAATTGCTTCACAAATGGTTTCTTCTTCGAACTTGCCTTGTTCCTCCAGTCACTCTCATGTAAACAGTAGTTATTCAAAATCATTAGAAGGAAATAGTCTACTAGCTCGATGCTTTGATCAAGTATCAAGTCCTGCACCATTGTATCTGCTTGAATGTGAAGAATATTTGAACTCAACGACAACTATTGACGAAAATCACGATGACGATAGTTAGTTATTCTTCCAATCACATTTTTACAAATAAAATACTTCTTCAATCATGAGTGTACTTTTTTTTCAGTTCTAGGATATTGGACGCAACACCAGGATCGTTTTCCAAATATACATTCACTTGCACGCAAAGTATTAGCTATACCGGCTTCAAACACCGAAGTTGAAAGATTATTTTCATGTTCAAAAATGGCAATGACAGATAATCGGACTCGACTTGATGCAGACAGACTTAATAAACTCATCTTTCTCCGTAAAAAGCTTATCAGCGCAGCCCCGGTGGGGCTAAAAATGTGGAACTCACGTATGTTCGCATCAAAATATCTGATCACGCTTAAGTGTTTTGTTTTCTTTGATGGCTGAAAGATAACACGTTGGTTGGTATTAGAATCCTTTCATAGATCCTGTTATAGGTTTGGTATGCAATAGGGTTTGACTATACTGTGTAGGACGTTTTAAGTTATATGATAAGTACTAAGCTTGAATTTAAAATTTATTCTCTTCATTTTTTTCTGAAGATTTTAGTGTTCGTAAAATAATTTTTGGATTGATTGCGAACATTTTTACGTTATAGATCTTTATATACCCTAACTATTAGTTTCAGTTAATGCTTTATTTATATTATACTTTAGTTTTAAACTTTTATCAGTTTGATTTTTAATTCATTTTTTTCTCGTTTAAATTGAGCGTTGTACTTTAGCTACATACATTTTATAGTTAATACGAAGTTCGTATTAAGAATAGGATGGCTGAAAGATGTTCATATCAAAACAAATTTCAGAATATATAAAGTTTAAATAGTTGATGTTCAGAAGTACTTTATTTGACTCTGAGCAAATTAACAAATATTTAATTATTCAAATAAAATATAGTATATTTTTATTTACATTGAAGTAAAATAGAAAAAGCAACTAGTAGGGTGATATTTTAGTTGATATAATTTTTTATGCATATTTAGATCATTTTCTATTTATTTAGTTTTAAGTTTTAATTTTTCTTAAGTATATCTAAAATTGTTATCGTGATTTTATTTATAAAGAAAAGAGATCGAAGTTATTGAAAACTTTGACAATCATTTCATTAGTACTTTGACGAACTGGTTTACTATTGGATATATGTTGCAATATCAGTAATAAGACCAGTAATTTCACTATACGTAAACTGAACATCGGTTGAAAGAAGATTATTTAAAGTACTTTCATAGTAAAAAATATCAGTATTTTCTATTGAAGACGTTTTATCTACATTTAATAAATTAATTAGAAGTGGTTTTGGTATTTTTAAATTATATTCTTGATTATTTAATGTTGATATCGTGATTTTTAGATTACCATCATTCATACTTGTATCTTTGAATAATCGAGAATGACAATCATTGCATGTAATAA